TTTTAAAAACAGATTTGGAAATTAAAAATATAATGACAGAAGTTTTTTAATCACTAGAAGGAATGAAAGACCTCAGAAAATATCACAGAAGGTAGATTCAAGAAAAGAAGACATACAAGATTGTCAGGAAAGAGCAGGAAGTCTCTAGAGGATCAGTCTAGGAAACCTAACATCCAACTAACAGGAATTCCAAAAGATAAAAGAGATAAAGCAGAAGGAAGAAAATAATCAAGTATCACAAGCAAAATGATCAGAATTGACATAAAGTGTTTCCACTTGAATGGGCCCTGGAGAGTGAAGCACAACAAATGAATTTAACACTCACACCAAGGCAAACCATCATGAGATTTTAGAATCATGGGATTAAAGAGAAGAGCCAGAAAGTTTCAGAGAGGCAAAACAGATGACATGGAAAGACAAGGTCAAGAATCAGAATGGCATCAGACTTCTTATTAGCAATGCCAGAAACTGCAAGACAGTTAACTAAATTAATTTCCAAACTATGCATTTATACTTACCAAATATTTATGCAGTTGTGAGGATTAAGGATAAAAATTTTTTCTAGACATATGCGATTTTTAAAAAATATGTATACACACACACATACATATGCATATATATACTTTCTATGAACTCTTAGCAGGAGGCTATTGGATAATGTGGTAAACCAACATGAGATAGTAAAGCAAGAAAGAGGAATATATATAATCCACAAAACAAGACCGAACACGGGAGAGATGTCAAACTTCAGAAGGTCAGCCTTGGAAGCTGAAACTAACCAGAACTGATGGGATCAGGAGAATGAATAATTCCAGGAGGGCTTCCCCAAGAAAGGAAAATGGAATTGATAAGTTACTCAATGTGCCTTACTGTACTGAGAAGAGTTTTAGAATTCTGTAGAGCGCTCGGGAAGAATTCATAATGAGGACACACAAAATCCAAGCAAATATATGAGGATAATACTTATTTTGGGGGGGATGTTACACAGGAATGGCAACGTGATCATAATATAGTACATGACTTGATTACAAACAACATTTAAGTAGTCATCATAATGGCAACACTGATTACTGATGAACCTCCAACTGTGATGTATTATGAGAATGGACAGGGAATGAAAAGGAGTGTTATGGAAAAAGTCGACATCTTCTGTTATATTATGTGAACAGATTAATGTCTGAAACTTGAAAAATTACAAAGAGTTGTATCAGCATATCATTTCAAATTACAGAAGTAAATACAGAAGGAAGAGCCAAAAACTTAAAGATAATCCATGTGGGAAACTGGACACAGGCTGGGAAGATGGCAGAAAGAAGTACTTGTGTTTTTAAAGCCTTATTGACTGATACTTTAAGTTATATATATGTTTTACTTTGGTGAAATTAACAACTGAATTAATAAAAGTTTCAATATAATTTACTCTGGATAAACAGATTAAAAGAGAAAAATGATACAATTCTCAAAGATTCTGTAGTAGGCATTTTGATAAATATCCTATACACAGGCCTGATTAAAAGAAATAACTAGTGTTCTCATTGTTCAACACCCACTTATGAGCAAGAACATGCGGTGTTTGGTTTTCTGTTTTTGTGTCAGTTTGCTGAGAATGATGGCTTCCAGCTTTATCCATGTCCCTGCAAAGGACATGAACTCATCCTTTTTTATGGCTGCATAGTATGCCATGGTGTATATGTGCCACATTTTCTTTATCCAGTCTATCATTAATTGGCATTTGGGTTGGTTCCAAGTCTTTGCTACTGTGAACAGTTCCACAATAAACATACATGTGCCTGTGTCTTTATAATCGAACGATGTATAGTCCTTTGGATATATACCCAGTAATGGGATTGGGGAGGGGAACATCATACACCGGGGGCCTGTCAGGGGGTGGGGGAGGTAGAGGAGGGATAGCAGGAGGTGGAGGTTAGGGGAGAGATAGCATTAGGAAAATTACCTAATGTAGATGACGGGGTGATGGATGCAGCAAATCACCATGGCACGCGTATACCTATGTAACAAGCCTGCGTGTTCTGCACATGTACCCCAGAACTTAAAGTATAATAATAAAAAGAAAGAAATAACTTTTAGTAAACCAGAGCCAGCAAAAAATGTCCGTAACTTGAAAAAAGGTGTCTATTAGAAAGCCTCAATTCAAATATTATAAGTATTCCCCCCGAACCCAGGAACAAAACTAAAATGCTCGTTTTTACTGTTACTATTCAGTATTACACTGGTGGTCCTGGCTAACACACTAAGGCAAAAGAGAAAGAGAAAATAAGATAGAAAAAGAAAAGAATAGGGGTATAAATTCTGAAAAAGAGGAGATAGAGTTGCTACTATTTTTGAAGATGTAATTATTTCTCGAGAAAAACATAAGACAATATTAGGAGGGAGAAAACCACTTAGTAAGACTTTTATGCACAAGATCAGCGAGCTAAAATGAATAGATTTCCCTTATGCCAGCAAGAAATACATAGAAAATGTAAAAGGAAAATGAATTCCTGTTTACAAATACAAGCTTTAAATGCCTAGCACTAAAGTGACCCAATAAAATCCCAAGTTCAAAGAATCATGAATAAATGGGGAGATATACTATGTTTCTAATTGGGGTCATTCTGAATTTCTCTTAAAACACAAATTCTTCCTAAATTTATCTGTTCATTTAGCGTCTCCCAATTGAATCCCAGTAAGGTAGATTACAGAACACTGCCTTTAAAATCACAGTAACTAAAACATTTCAGTATTGAAACAAGAATGAAAAATAGAACCATGGATTAAAACATGGGTAACCAATGCAAATTCACACATAAAATTTAATACACTGGTTCCCTTTTATCCACAGGGGATGCTTCCAAGATCCCCAGTGGATGCTTGAAACCGCAGATAGTATCAAACTCTGTACATATATACTATGTTTTCTGCTACCTATACATAAATTAGGCACAATAGGAGATTAATAATATCTAATAATAAAGTAGATCAACTATCACAATGTACTGTAATAAAAATTATGTAAATGTGGTCTCTTTTTCTCTCTCAAAACATCATACTGTAGACATTACCAACCTCAGCATATGATTTTTTTCTTTCAGGAAATTTCACATTTTCACCTAAAGGAAGCACTTGACGGTTTCTCTTTGGCATATCTGAATTGCCAGCATCAATCCTCTTGTGCTTTGGGGCCACTATTGACTAATATATAAGGGTTCCTTGAACTCAAACTCTGTTATGCCAGGACAGTCAATCTGATCACCAGGACAGCTACACAGTGACTTACGGGCCGGTAGTGTCTACATTGTGGATACCCTGGATAAAGGGATGGTTCACATACTGGTCGGGATGGAGAGGGACAGCATGAGATTTCATCACACTTCTCAGAATGGGAAGTATCTTAAAACTCATGAATTGTTTATTTCTGGAATTTTCCATTTAATGTTTTGGACCAAGTTTTACTACAGGTAACTGAAACCTCAGAAAGTAAAATTGTTGATAAGGGAGGGCTACTATAGTTAATAATAGCATAAAGAGATCAAATATCTATGAAGGAATCTAGCAGAAGTCCAAAGTCTTCAGAGAGAAAAATACAAAGTTTAATAGAAAATATTTTTAAAGTAATAATATACACAAACTATATACACTAGATGGAAGTTGTAATATTGTAAAAACATTCGTTCTCTTCAAATTGATTTATAGATTCAGTGCAGTTCCACATAAAATTCCAATATTTTGACAGGTAAATTTGGGAACACAAAAGTCTAAGACATTTTGGAGGAAGAGGAAGAGATTTGCTCCCTCAGAAGTCAAGAGTTCCTGGGAAGCTGTCATCACCATGGCAGTGTGTTACTGGCATCAGGAGGGGCTGTCACAGACCAAGGGCGAGAAGAGAGAACACAGAAGCACAGCCTGCCTCTATACTCCCAAAAAGGGTAGCAATGTGACTCAGTGGAGAAAAGGATCATTTAATCAATTAATGGTGTCCTCAGAAAGATTGATAAGAATCAAAACAAAGATTTCAAACTGTAGCTCAGGCAAAAAACAATTTGACCTCAGATAAAACAGGAAATGTAAAAAAAACACAAGTTCACCCAGATTCTGACTAAGCAAGCAGGAAGTTTGGGGTGAGGTGCCGGGGTCAAGCCTGGCTAGAGGAGCTATAAAGCCGCCACAGGCACATGGAACACAAGATCAGACAGAATCAGTTGTAAGAATAACTCAGAGACAATCAGGAGACGATCCCAAAGTTCTTAACAGCACGTGCACACCTAAATAAAGCAAGACTGTGAAGATTGAATGACAAGAGGTCACGGAGCTTGCAGAGGTATAGAAACAAATTAAGATCCTTCCTCAAAAATAAATGCTATCAATTTTTTAAAAATTTGAAATGACAAGAAACAAGAAAGCTACTAAAAGGTAAACAATTGTCATGGAGGAACGTTTGAGACAGCTATTATGAACACAAAGTAAAAAACTGAAAAGATGAAAGCACCAGGAGCCAAATAAAAGCTGTGAGGGCTAACGTGACTCCAACGTAAGAATATTTTTGTTTAAAAATTTAAAAAGTTTTGAAAAATATTAGAGAAGGAACTCTTCCTTGAATAACCGTAGCAGCAAATCTGCCACCTTAACACAGGGTCAACTGTGAAGACTGACATTGCCCATGGAGTATGCCAGCATCACTTCATTCATAATGAAGGTGCATCTACCTTAAAAAATCCGTATCACAAGAAGTTTATACATAAAATTTTAAGCTTTAATAAGATAAAAGTCGCCATACACAAAGGTAATGGACAAGAAAAGTATATTTATACTTACAGAATATTTAGTGAATTCTCTCATATCATGAAAAAAAGGACAAATAACTCAATCACACTGGCAAAAAATAAAACAAGCAATTTATAGAAGAGGGAATTTAAATGGCCAAGAAACATGAAAAGCTGTTCAATGTTCCACATCATTAGGAAAATACAAATTAAAACAAAATGTAACTCTTCATTCATCACCTTTGCAAACTGTGGCTGTGTGTAGGAAGATGGCTGGTCTCAATTGCTATTGGTGAATTACATTCATTCAGCCTCCTAGAAAGACAATTTGGCAGGACCTATAAACAAGTCTATGCAACAATCTTGCATGTTCTTCACATATACCCCAAAACCTAAAATGTTATAAAATATTTAAAAAAAAAAAAAAGAAAAAATGGTGCATATACACAATGGAATACTATTTGGCCATAAAAAAGAATGAGATTCTGACATTTGCAACAACATGGATGGAACTGGAGAAATAAGCCAGGCACAGAAAGACAAAGTTCACGTGTTCTCACTCCCTTGTGGGAGCTAGAAATCAAAACAATTGAGCTTATGAAAACAGAGAGTAGAAGATGGTAACCAGAGACTGGGAAGGGTGGTTGAGGAAGCAGAAGTAGAAATGGTAATGGGTGCAAAAATACAGTTAGATAGCATGAGGAAGACCTCGAATTCGATGGTACAACAGTGTGACTGTAGTTGACAATAATTTATTGTACATTATAAAGTAACTAAAAGAGTATAAGTGGGATGTTCGCAGCATAAAGAAAGAATAAATACTTGAGGTGATGATAACTCATTTACCCTGATGGGATTACTATGCATTGTATGCCTGTTTCAAAATATTTCATGTACCACATAAATATATATACCTGCTATGTACCAACATAAATAAACCAAGTATATAACTGGACCTTTTGCCTCAACAGTTCCATTTTCTAAGGTTTAAAGACAAGATAAATAGTTGCGTACATGTAAAAACCCAAAAAGAAATATATAATCATTGTTATGATCGTTTATTGGTCAATGTGAACAATTTAAAACAACCTAAATGTCCTACAATTGGAGAACAAATAATTATGGTATATCAATTCTATGGAATGGGATGCATAAAAAGAATGAGGCAGATCTATATGTATTAAGGTTAAAAGCTCTCCAAGTTTTCCACTATTAAAATAAGTAAAAATGCAAAATGCAGAATAGCACATGCAATGTAATTTATTACAAAACAAGGACACAAATTATGTATTTACAAAAATGCATTTTATATATATATATATATATACATAGAAAAATATCAAAAAAGCTATGCCCAAGACTCTTCACAGGACTAGGAAGGGAAGCTACAAGGGTGGGTGAGTGATAAAGATAACTTTTTCCCTTAATTTACTTCTCTACTGTTTTAAATTTTATGAACAATAATGTATAGTGTATTTCTTTTCTATCAAAAAATTTAGAAGATTAAGTAATGTTATTTCAGAACTCATTACTAGAGAAAAGACAGGATTTCCTTCTCTTTTCTGGTCAGAGGTATCCCCCATCTTGGGACAGGCTATTGAAGTAAAAATAAACATATTTAGCCTTTTGCCATCCTGGGCCGTTTTCTTCCTTTTCCTTATTTTGATCAAGGTTGATGGTATAAGAACTCAGACCCTGAGCCAGTCATGGGAATAGCCAACAGAGGCCCCTTGCCAGGACAGGTAAGACCACAGCATCCGATGTTTAAAAGTAAGCCAGGTGTTTACCCTGGAGTGTTTATTTTCTAAACCACCTTTTTTTTTGACATGACATATGTGAAGGCAGAGGAAGGCCAAGGGATGTGAAAAGGTCCAGAGATCCTGAAGAAACAGTTAATCCCAGCCGCAAACGACTGCTATGTTCAGAGTGTCCTGGCCAGCTGAGCAGTAGTTTCAAAACAAGAAAGTCACGTGTGTTACGGCAAGCTGGACTCACACCAACAGCTGTCCTGTTCCCGTTTTAAAAATCTGATTTCCTCACTATCTTCTCTTTCATTTATTTATATCACATCACACACCTATGTTCTTGGAAAGAAGGATTAAACAAAGTGAAGCCTTAGACACAAACGGAACTAAAGGCCTGAAAATTGCAATATAGCTAGAGATAAAGGTTAAAGGAAGGGAGATAAAGACTCACCGGGTGCTCAGGTCGCTGTCCCCGCCTGCCATCTTCCCACCCTAGGCCCTCCCTGGGCCTCAAACCTGGCCTCTGAGCCCCTCAGTCAGCCCAGCTTGCCTGGAGTGTGGCTGCTCAGGCCCCAAGCAGGAAGTCGGCCGACAGACTGACTGAGAGAGGGCTCCGCCCAAATGGGGAAAAGAGAAGTGAAAGTATTTATTTAACCTCCTGCATGGCTGCAGTTGCTGTGTTTCTCCTCCTTTCTCACTCCAAGGGGTTCTCAGCTTTTCTGAAATGTGGCAGAGGGTTGCAGGAGAGGCCTGACAGGCAGCAACGCCTGCAGGACCAGGGAAGGAGGGCCCAGGGGACGAGCAGGGCCAGCTCCCGGAGTCCACTAGTTTGTGCAATGGACAGCAAACAAATTTGCTTGAAACAAAAGTGTCCTTAGCTGCTCCGACTTCTAAGAGGGGGCATAGTTTACATGAGAGTTGGGGGTGGGGTGGGGGAAACTCCATGTTTGCCCCTTGTCCTTGCTGAGATGGCTGGGGATGGGGGCTGGAGGGTGAGAGGGAAAGCCAGAAACTTCAAATCTTCTCTCAGGCCCATGGGAGAGCTTGGACTGGACTAAGGTAGGTCCTGACAATGCTCGGCCTTATAACCTGGGGAGAGTGTTCTTAGCCTTCCAGGAAATCAGTCAGAGGTGAGAGAGAACTCTCCACACCCTGGGACCACAGGCTGGAGCCAGCGTGGTAAGAGAGGCGAACATTTTAGGTGCAAGAGGTTAAGGAATCTTGACTATGGAGCCACCGTGCAACAGCCAGGGGTGAAGAGACCTCTGAGCTTCAGAGAAGTCGCTGGAATCTTGAGAGAACAAAGGCTTCTCATTGGAGGAGGAGGGAGGTTGGAACCCAGGTGATCTAGACATGGAAGGGCAGGGTGACTCCAGCTGGGGGTTCTATCTGCGCCCGGATTTTCCATTTAGATTCTGATTCATCACGCCTCAAAGAACAAGAAGTGACCCAGAAGACCCACTCTACATCAGTATAAAGTCACAGGTAAAGAAATAGAAGCAAAGGGCGTGTGAAAATGGGACCACAGGACACACTAGGGACCAGAACTCCAGGCAAAGCCATGGGACAGAGACAGGGAGGCAGCTGGGAGCCTGGGGGCACTGGAATCCAGGGCCTGAGGTGAGCAGAGGGTGGAAGCCAGCGAGGATTCAGGGGCCAGAGGGGATGGTGCTTCAGAGCCATGTTTTCCAAATTGCATTCTGCTGAATCCACCTTCTTCCAGCTGTGAATAAGGATGCTTGTCCAGGTACATTTGAAAATCTGGGGGAGAGGGCTTTCTACCCTCACTCCACTTCTGCCCTTTTTTCTCCTATGAGTGAGTGAGCCAGGCACCAGGACACTGGTGAGAACAGCTTTTCTGGTGGGCAAGGTCATCGTTTCTGTCAGGCACTGCACACCTGTAGCGCTCTCTCTCTGTGTGTGTGTGTGTGTGTGTGTGTGTGTGTATGTATGTGTGTATGTGTGTGTATGTGTGTGTGTGTATGTGTGTGTATTTGTGTGTGTGTGTGTGTGTGTGTGTATGTTGTGTGTGTGTGTGTGTGTGTATGTGTCTCACTGTCTCTCACTCTTCCTACCCCCCATGACTCTCCAGCTTTATGGGAGTGAAGGGCTGGTAAGCTGAGCCTCTGTTGGACACCACTGTCCTCTGATTCCAGTCTCCATGAGGCACACTGGCCCCAACACAGACCACACCAGTATGCTGTGGTGTGGTTCACACTCTCCCCTCTCGCCGCCTCTGGGCAGCAGGGAGGCCCAGGCCACTGAGTGGCACTGCCATGAATGTGCCAGCTTTTTTTCTGGGTGTGCTTAGGGGCTGCCAAGAGCAACACCTGGAATTCCAGACCAATGAGCCTCAGGTTGGCAGGGAATTCCTTAAGGGTTGAACTTCATGGGTGGACATGCCCATGCTGGGGCACCTCTTGGCAGCAAGGAGGGAGACATTCTTGTCAGATGAGGTTGGAGACAAATGAGCATGCACCATGCTCTGCTGGTTTGTAGAGAATCACAGGTAGGCCTCTGTGAAGAAAGCAAAGTTTCTCTGATCCAGAAAGCAATGTCAGACACACCAAAGGGAGTACCAAATTAACAAGTAGTGTGAACTTCTAAAAATCCTGCTGGATTGTTTAGAAGGAAGAAATGGAACTCCTGGGGCATTTTCCATGGCTGCAAGGAACACAGGCAATAGGGAATATTTTTGCTGTCACAGAAGCAGTCCCAGCTCCTGGAGCCTAGAAAACTCAGAAGTAGGAGAGGCAGGGATTGAGGAAGGACCACAGGATGCAGCCAGATGATGGGACTCATAGACTTCACCAAGAGCAGCTTCAGTTCAGACTTCACTGGTGTGGTTGAGGCAGGAAAATAGGGTCTGGAGGCAGAGAATCTAAGGCCATTTCATGGCAGCTTCCTAGAACTAAATTGCAAGGAAAATCCTCACTTTCCATGCCTAAGTAACAAAAGGTCCAGAGGCCACTCCCTTCGTAAACCCCGCAAAATTGTTTTGCTTTCTGCCACCAATCACACTGTTGTCCCTTTTCTGCAGGGCAGACAGGAAATTGAAAGTACCTATAAATTGGTTGATTTTTGCAACCAATCAGATGTTTGCATAGAAGTGTAACTTTATGACTTTACTTCAGCCTCTGATTGGTTGCTGTCTGTGGGCCAAGTCTTCCTTTGCATAGAAGAGCAACTTTGTAACTTCACTTGTCTCTGATTAGTTGCTATCTGCAACCAGTCAGATGTTTGCGTAGGAGTGTGACCTTTGTAACATCACTTCAGCCTCTGGTTGGTTGCTTTCCACAACCAATCAGACTGCTTGCGGGCCACCACTTCATTTACATGAGGTGAGCACGAAGTGGTCAATGGAAAATCTCCAGGGGGTATTTGGACCGGAGAAGATTCTGTATTGGGGACCCTTGAGCACTGCTGGGGCCTGCTCCCACACTGTGCAGTGTACTTTCATTTTCAATACATCCCTGCTTCGGTTCTATTGTTGCTTCATTCTTTTCTTGCCTTGCTGTGTGTTTGTCCAATACTTTGTTCAAAACACCAAGAGCCTGGACAACTTGCAGTCAAGACCCTCTACCAGGGTCTCAGTGGCATAACATGGTAGGGGTGATTCTTCAACCTGGGACCCTCATGTGAGAACCAGAGGTCTATCCCTGAGATGAGTAGTTGGAATTCTGGACTAGAGAGTTTCAGGGCAGGAGGCAGCTGCAGCAGCAGTGCAACTGGGGCATGAGGATAGAGAATCTGACCAGCCTCCAAGGGATGTAGAAGTGACAAGTGAACCAGGCAGCTCCATGCTGGATGCCTCCACAAGCATGGAACTAAGGCTGTGGGATCAGACCTGCTTTCAGAAAGGAGGAGGAATGTCTTCCCAGCTGTGGTCAGGCTGGGGTCTCCTTGTGAGCCTCAGGGTGCCAGTGAGGCAGGGCTGGAGACCACCAGGAGCAGAGGGAGTCTGGAGGCTGGGGCTGGAGCCAGGAAAGGCTTGAATGAACGATGCAGCCTTGAACCAAGTCTCCACTCCTAATATTTCTGCAAACCTCCATGTGTCTATGACTTTTACCATGGTGAGGTGGAATGTCCCCCAGACTGTCCTAGATTTTAGGACAGCCAGGTGATGTGTGTGTGGTGATGAAAGGGGAGTACCTGGTGGCTCCTCCAGATGGCCTCCACCAGCACCTGCTGGGCAGCAGCTTCTGCTTCTTTGGGTTTGCGAATAGGTGCTTTTATGAAGAGGAGGGTCCCTGGCAGGTTTCTCAGTATTGCTGAACAGAATAAAGGAAGGGCAGGATTGGAAAGTGTGGCTTCATGAAGATGTAGTGGCTATGAGACAGGAGGTATAGTTCTAGCAAAGGCCAATGCCCATCTGCCAACCATTGTCTGGAGGAGATGTTCAGGGAAGGAGTGGAGTCTGCCTTTCCACAGGTGCTCCTCCTGGAAACATGGGTGGGTGGCAGCTGACCAGAACACTGGGGGGCTTTCCCAGGGCACCTGTGCCTAGAAAAGGCTGAGAAGACCTTGTTTTGAGGATGAGGTGGGTCTTCTTAGACTGTCAGTCATAACAGAGCTGCTCTAGGGGAAATCCAAAATAAAGTCTAATGAGCTCTCCCCAGGGCCAAGCAAGTCTCTGGAGCTGGTAGGACAGCCCTGTGCATTTCTCCTAACTGGTGCACATGTTTCTCATGGGTACAAATGCCATGCTCAGGGAACAGGATGGCATCCTAAAGGGCCCCAGCCCACTAACACAGGAGGACCGCCTGGTCTGGCCAGGTCATGAAATTGCCCTGGGAACCAGGTTTTGCTGGATATCCTGTGTCTCACCTTGAGATGAGGCTGTCAGGGGCAGGTGGGCTGTAAAACTGCCAGGTGGAACAGTTTTTTGGGGAGCAGATGGCCTCTAGGGTCTTCTGGTTCAATGTCTTTCTGGACAACATACTGACACAGTTGTGCTGGTTTCCAAAACAATGACGTTAAAGTCTAAAACTCATTCATCTCATCTGCTATGGATCTGTCTTCTTGGTGTAGAAAGGAACAAAGTGTAAGTTCCCTGATATAGATCCATTTCTGCAGCTACCAGCCAGTTGAGAATGGCCAGTGGACTCAGTCTAGCAGGTGACACCCTCCTTTCCAGAGAGAATTGGAGACCCCTTTACACTATGCATACATACCATCTATGGCCTATGGCACCCTCCTCCATGAATAATTCTTGAGGGTGTTCAGCCCATTGAATGTGGAGCCATGGAAGTGAGAGGACATTTATCCCAGAGGGAACATTTTTCCCAGAGCTTGGATTCCAGGCTCAGCTGTGATGACAATAATGGTATTCTTGAGCTATGCTTGTAAGAATCCAGAATTGGAAATTGGATCTTTCCCTACGGGGTGGGGCGGGAGGGGGGTCATGAGGAAATGGGGTCTGGATTTACCATTTATCATTCAGACAATGGTACAATGCAGGAACCCAGGGGTTATTTCTTGTATTTCCTAAATAAGCACAAAAGAAGAAGCACCAGCCAGCTCCTGTACAACACTCCGGGCCACACGTACTGACATAGATTTTACAAAATCGTCTGAGAGCAGGTATGTCTACTGACATGCAGAATGCACCAACCATGGACACATCTATTCTCTGAGTCCCAGAGGAGTGGTCACAGACACCAGAGAGAGCCAGAAGTGGTGGCTACATCATTAGATGGTCAAAAACCAAGGTCATGAGCTCTCAAGGCTGAGGTCCTGCATCCTTCTCCCCATCCACACTCAGCCATGAACCCTCTGGAGGATGAGGTGAGCAGGGGATAGAAAGTGGTTTTACCTACCTTCCCAGAAGCTCTGGTAGGAGGCA